AGTACGGAAGCCCATTTAGGACCTCCAGAAAATATAATTTGAATTCGATATCACGAATTTAAATTGTTATCACGAAATCTAGAATTCTTTATCACAGATTAAATTCGTTATCACGAATTTATGGAATTAGTTATAACAGTTTTTGTAATTCGTAATAACGGATTAAATTCGTTATCACATTTTTTTGTAATTCGTGATAACGGTTTAAAATCGTTATAACAAATTGTATAACTATTTCTACGAATTTGTGATAACGAATTTAATCCGTTATAACCATTTATGAAATTCATTATAACGATTTAAATCCGTTATCACGAATTACCAAAAAAATGTGATAACAAATTTTCACGAATTCACTCTGTTATAACGATTTATACAATTCGTTATCACGATTTTTATAACGATTTTGATCCGTTATCTCGAATTACAAAAAATTGTGATAACGAATTTAATTCGTTATTACGAATTACAAAAACTATTAGAACTAATTCCGGAAATTCGTTATCACGAATTTAATAACTAATAACGAATTCTTCAATTCGTGATAACGATTTAAATTCGTGATTTCGAATTCTAATATATATTTTTAGGAGATCCGTATTTAAGCGATAGTATTCAGCAAACAACCTTAGTTACGAATACATTTTGAACCTTTTTTTTAACGTTCCTGGATAATCATTTTTTTCGGTCTTTTATTCTATGATATAGAGCCTTCAGATACCAACAATTTTTTTCAAATCAAATGTTTCTTTTTGTATCCATTGTTTATAGAAAGACAAACTATATTTTTCACTTCCCTTCTGAAACAAATCATGTTTAATTTTGCTCAAGAAATTTAGTTGTTGAAACTATATATATATATATATGAGAACGCTTACTCTGTGGCTGTAAATTATCTCTCTAAATGTAAACATTTTAAAGATAAGTCTCTTTTGAAATATTCTCTCACTTCTATGCGTTCTGTCAGGGGATATTCTTGTTCTTTGTAGTGTGTTGTTTTATAAATAGCACATAGCTGAGAGGGTGATAGAGCAGATTGTCACCCCGAGGAAAGATTGTCAACCGAGTTATTACAAAAACAACAAAAGTAAAGCAAGATGTTTTTCTAAGTTAAAAGTCCATGAAAAAGGTCTGAGAACGAAACGTAGAACTTGAACATTGTCTTGGACATCTTCTTAAAACTATTGATGTAAATTCAATTCATTGTCATAAATTATAATGTTTTGCTTTATATCCGGGCAACACAAGTTAACTAATAAAAAGATGACAGACTCTTTACGGTGAAAAACGGAATACAAAACATTACACAAAAGCTACGGGAATTTCATCTAAAACCGAGTGTGAACTCAGTTGTTTCTGTAAATTAAGCAATTATCGGATTTCATGTGACCCATTTCCTCAGTATATCCCTCCCCCACAAAAAAAAAGTTCGCTTCTTGAATTGACCAAAAAGGGGAGAGCAAATCTCATATTTACATATAACAATCGCGATCGTCTTTCGCTATGTAATTGAATCTGATATACAGTCGCTTAACCTGTATTATGTCTTCATGTGGACTGTTACCTTGTGAACTAGCACGTTAAAAATCCGCTTCAGCGTGTTGGTCTAGTACAAAGCAGGGTTAGTATCCATATTACATTGACATGTTCTCGTCCTTAATATGCGTTTGATTTGCTACTGGACGTAAAGTAGCTTTCCACCATCATCAATCATCGTCATCGTCATCATCAAATATTTCATGTGTTGGGGGTGTAGGCAAACGGTAAAACATCGGCCATTAGAAAGTGTTTCCACTTCTGATTTGAAACTATATGTACAATTTATTCTCATTAAGGTCAAGATCAGATCTTTAATCATCGTTTTCATCGGAATTCATGCAATACAAATTCAAATTGCATGTTCTTTTGAAAAGATAAAAATTTAAACTGTCATTTTACAAAAAGCTGCTGAACGGTAGATCTAAAATCGCTAAGAATGTCGAATCAATATGACTAAGCTCCAGAAAAAGAGAAGAGTTTGGAAAGATGAGACATGTTTAGTGTAGTTTACAACAGTTACTGATGAATTATCATTGAGTACCGCCTCAGTCGACGATAGAGACAGTCAGGAGGGATTGTACTTCATTTTCATATGATGAAGACATAATCTTTTAATCAGTTTAATTAAGATCTGGAGCTGGCATGTCAGTAACTGCTAGTAGTCCTTTGTTCATATATGTATCATTGTCATTTTGCTTAGTTTCTTTTGTTACCTATTCTGACATCGGACTCGGACTTCTTTTAAACTGAGTTTTACTGTGCGTATTGCTATGTGTTTCTTTATTCTACATTGGCTAGAGGTATAGGGGGAGGGTTGAGATCTCACAAAACATGTTTAACCCCGCCGCATTTTTGCGCCTGTCCCAAGTCAGGAGCCTCTAGCCTTTTTTAGTCTTGTATGTTTTTTAATAATAGTTCATTTATATGTTTTGGAGTTTAGTGTGACGTCCATTTTCACTGAACTAGCACACAATTTTATTTAGGAGCCAGCTGAGGACCACCTCCAGGTGCGGGATTTTCTCGCTGCATTGAAAACCTATTGGTGGCCTTCGGCTGTTGTCTGCTCTTTGGTCTGGTTGTTGTCTCTTTGACATATTCCCCATTTCCATTCTCAATTTTATTATATATTCATATATCATATTGTTGATAAATTTATACCTTACTCTCGGCCAAGATAGCATTTTTTATCTGAAAAATAATTTATTTAAACTAATGACTTTCGAAGTTATGTTTCAATGTATTCAACATAGACATAATAACGACGAGGCTGAAAAATGAAGAAAATGTTATTTCTTAGAAAAAGGAATAAAGAAAAACAACAGTGTAGACTATGATACTCAAATATGAAATTTATAAGACATTTTTTGAAAAAATTAATTTAATTAGATTTAGACGTCAAAAGTATTGCGGAAAGGTTCCGTAAATTACGGTACGTATACGGACGCTTTGTGAATACGGCGTAAACGTTGCGAATTAGATGCGGAATGAATCCGCAAACCATCCGTAAAGTTTCCGCAAATGGAAATTTTACGGAACCTTCGTGAATAAGGTCCCTGCATGTATGTATGTCACCTCCATCGTCCAAGGCTTTGTCATACTTTAAACGAAGTGCCGACTCAAAAACGATGAAAAGCAAATTATGCAAATGAAGTTAATGTATATACTGGTTGGTACGAGTAACACGCTAAATCATTTCAAATTGAAACACTCCACAAAATTTTCTGTAACACCAGAGAAAATGAAACAAGCACCGGTTTCAGACTTAAGTTTGTCAATTCGCCGAGATCAAGAAGATGAATCTTCTTAATCTGAAGTTATTACAAACGCCATCGTAGATATGGTAGTAATGGATTATTAAAAACAAAATTTTATCAGGAAAGCTCAAAGCCAGGCCTTATATTGCCCAAGGATAAACTCCAATCCATCGTGTCATAAAATCGTGCATTTGAGTGCTGTAGATAAGGAGCAATTCAACTTAACTACCGATTAACCGGTTAATCGGTCGAAAGATTATCCGAGTAACTGGTCCAAGGACAATATAGTCCCTAGTGTGAACAGTGTATAACTTGCATTTTTTTTTGATACACTTTCCCAATTTATTTCTTGATATTTTATGCATGAAATATTAAGTAAGGGATGAAATTACATGTTAAAAAAATTTGGGTGCTGAATCTTTATGTTAAGTAGTGATTTGGTCCAGTTAAAAAAGGTCAAAAATTAGAATGTCTGAAGCTGTCAAACTGAATTTTAGCCCCCCTTAACACAGAATTGTCAATAATTTGAGTTAGAGCTGGTAGAAGTTTCTATAATTTTGATATTATTTGTATCAATAGTAGTACACTACACTGTAAAAATCTTTTTGAGATAGAGCAGGTGCGATTTTTTTGATTTGAATTTATTGTCTAAAAGAAATGCACTACGAAATAACTGTGTTCTCGGGCCTAAGAGGTTAGTCGAAACTGTTCAATTTGACAACACTATCAATAAAACTTGTACTTTTCTTCGAAATGTGTTATCCCGAAATATCGTTAGCCGAAAGTCATCAATTGGAAACACCATTTCAAAAATACTGATGGATTAGATCGAGGATTATGACAGGCAATTGGCTAAAGGCGAAAAAGAAGACGACGACACTCTTTCCGAATGGGTTAAAGCTGTGAGGTCGTTGATACAAACTTTAACTAATAAAAAAGAGAGGGTCTATGAATACAAATGCTACATCTATATATATCTAAAGACCCAAATGTTGCTAAGGACCTGTCTTATTTCCATGACAAATATGTTGTTGTTCCCGCAGATAAAGCCCTAAACAACATAGTTTTTGTGTTTAAATTCACATTACATAAACTGCCTGATAACAGAATTAGGTATTGACAATTCACTTAGAAACTTGGTCCTGCTTTGTTTAATAAAAAAATGGCGAACGTAGATACAAGTTTCTTGTTTTAGGTAGAGATAATTAGTACTTTGTTAAAAATCACACGGATTCAAACAAAAAATTCTCTGAAACTGACAGTAAAGCCAGGCGGAATTCAACGACATGTATTCGTTTATTTGATGTTAGAATGTTGCATCTTGGGATAGTATCATTTCTTGACACATGGCGGGAAATATTTATAATTTATATTGCCACGAATTTATTGAAAATTATCTTTAAATTAATAAAAAAAAACATAGCCTTTATGATCCAAACATTATTGATTAACATCGTGAACCACCAGTTAATTGGCGACTAAGGATGCCAGGCTACTCTGTCTCCTATCTATTCTCTGCATCGATATTTTTACATTCATGTAGGAAGTTCTCAATATAAGTCCCTTTGTCACAGTTAGTATATTTAACTTTCAGCTCATCAATGCATCATTATATAGTTTTAATTAAATTAAATACTGCCCCCTTCCCCCACAAAACAAACAAAACATAAACAAATGCATATATTTAACTTGTATTAATATCAGAAATCAAAACACAGGACCTTTATATACCCATAGAGTTGCATTTCCATGATTACAATAACCACTGAATGCCCTTAAGTCATGTTTATAATGATCCTTAGATGCTGTCTTGAAGTAAGTAGCACGAGCATCAATGACCATCTTCAAAACTTTTGCCTGCAAATGAAATGTAATATCAATGACACACTAAGAGGAAACGCTGGTTTAAATCAATTAAATTTTTCATTGTGAGTAATGTAAAATATGACATATTTCCCATTTATATCTAGTTTGCTGAATTAACTTTTGTACATGTACTTGTTCAGAATTAAAATCTATGAGAAAGTTAATTTAAATCAACTATATGGGAAGCTGAGCTTTTTCAAAATCTTATTGTAGCACAGGGGAAAAAATCGCAAAAATGATGATAATAATAATCATTATTTTGCCAAGATTATGACGTAAACTTGTTCTTTACTATTGAAATGAATCGATTATCAGAAAACCAGTGCTTATGGCATATATTCCATGCACGCATATATTTGTAGTTCAACAATCATTTATAATGGTCAGCAGGGTATTTGATTATCTTTTTTAGACATCTTATAGGTTTATAAATATCAAGTTTGTATACATTCTCGATAAAATAAAAAGTAAAATCGTTAAAATCGAAAATGAGCCATACAAGTTTTCGTTTATCGTGTTAAGCATAATTCAAGTCGATATTTGTTTCTTTTAAAATTGTCATTTTGACATGGCTGTGCCTTTTGTAGTTTATTATATAGTATGATATTTGCTCATGCTTTAAGGCCGTACGGTAATTTATAGTTTTACCATCCTCGTCAATCGGCCTCCGGTAGATTGTTGTCTCATTTGCAAGTGCAACATCGATCTCCTTATTTTTATATAGAAATTTCAAAAAGGCTTGCTGCAAATTTTACATTCTGTACGATTATAATTATCAAACCACTTAATAAGGATGTATTCCTCTGACGTTACAGTCTCGTTGAAATCTCGTTCTGGAATTATTTCCAAAACATGTGATACAAGTGGAAAATATCAATGAATTTAAAAAATGTTATTATCAAACTTAACTCTGTGAAAAAATTGCGTATTTATAATGAGTAGTTTTTGAGTAATCAATTTTTCAAATGTTATTACCAATCAAGTCAGTCTTTTTAGCCAAAATTTTGAGAAAATGGGTGAGGGGTACAAGAAATTATTTTACCAGAAATATGTACATCCCATATCACTTTTTTCTTTTCAAATTTCTTAGATATGTATTTTTTCAATCATTTTTAACAAAGAAGTTGAAATGATATGCATTTTGTTCTTAAAACAGAGAAAAATCAAAAATTTACAAAATTCACAGCATGGTTAATTTGACACAAAAAAGCATCAAAATATGATAAAACTTTCTTATATTAACACCTACCTATAGTTTTTTTAAGTTGAATTTATTCAGATTGGTCCACTTCATCTTTATTGAAAGTATGAAAAAAAGTTTAATTGTGGAACTGTGATTTTTTTCACGATAATAGCCCAAAAATATGTAAAAATTGATGAAAAATGGGAAAATCATCAAAATTGGGTACTTTCAAAGGGCCGTATGCACCACCATATGATTTTTTCTTCATCAATTATTTTTTTACAGTCATTATAAACCCAAAAATCAGGTTAAGAAAAAAAGTTTAATTCTAGAAATTTTTGGCTCCTCAGAGGTGTACATCCTTAAAATAAATATTAAAAACCCCAAACTGCCTCTGTAGAACCAAACACTGTATACATATTACGTTTGGCAAACTTTGAGTTATAGGTAAAAAGTAGAATTCTATTATATTGACAACAATGTGTGAGCAAAACAAACAGACCATCTTCAATTTTTTTATTATCAATCTCATACATGGGATAATGATAGGAATTGTATTCACGGTACCAAATTTACTCGACCAGATGCACATTTCGACAATTAATATCTTTTCAGTGATGTTCGAGGCGAAACTATTTGAACATCAAAACCTAATTCAAAAGTTGAAGAGCCGACAAAACCAAAAAAAGGAATAAAGTATAGCAAAATTTAAAAGCCTTCATTCATTTGAAGACGATCCGACAAGAAATAAAGGGGATAGCGTGGTGACAACAAATTGATCACAGACGGGACAACCATTGTATCCTCCACAACTTTGTTGCTTGTGGTATACATATGATAAACATATATTTATGAGTTATAAATATTGTTTCAGTTATAGATATGTATTTAAACAAAAAGTGAAAGAACTGTGCGTGTCTAAAATTGAACAAAATTGAGTCGAAATAAAAAGAGACGATATTAAGTATCCGCAGGGGGTATTTTAACAAATGGAAAACAAGTTACCATCTTCATTTTTTTCATTTGTCATTAATTATTGATAATAAAGTAAGCTTACGTGTTAACAATATTCTAAAGCACCACGGGAGGTCCTTATTGGATATAACGTGAATCGGAAGAAATATGTTTTTGCACTAAAAGCGCTTATTTATTTTGACAATTTGTTCTCCGATATCATAGAACTATCAATATATGACCCTAATGCTGTGATAAAAAATATACAAAACAAATGTATCAACCTCATTTTAACAAGACTAATTAAACACTAGAAAAGTACCAACACGTCTGAAAATATATTTAAATGTCAGAATTAAGAAAATTCAAAGCAACTGTATTCATCGTAAATCCCAGGCTTAAAATTTTGTACGCCAGACGCCCGTTTCGTCTACAAAAGACTCATCAGTGACGGTAGACTAAAGAAAAGTAAAAAGAACAAATGAAGCACGACGTTGAAAAGCTTTGAGGACCTAACATTTCGAAAGGTTATGCCAAATACGGCTAAGGTTATCTATTCCTGTGGTAGAAAATCCTTAGAATTTTGAAAAATTCGAAAATTTTGTTAAAACTTAATTTATTATTATGACCACATCAATGATAAATCATTTCAACACAGAAATGCTGACTATTGGGCTGGTGATACTTTCGGGAATGAAACTTCCGCCAGCAGTGGCATCGACCCAGTGGTTGTAAATAAACTCATCATAGATACCAGGCTTAAAATCTTTATCAAGGCGTAAGCTGCTTGAGCTATATAAGCAATAGAATATATAGGCAAAATATCGAAAAAGCACTTGTAGTCTATTTCCCCAAGTTGAAAAGCCTGGTGTCTTTGATGGCGTTTTTTTAAAAAGCAGAATTCAAAAACAAATAACTGCTTTAGTTTATTTGATACCTTTGGATGAAAAAGGGTTCAAGAGTACATTAAAATCCTAGGCTTAAACATTCTTCATGTATTATGAAATATTTTGTCAAATGACTAAAGATATCAAACGAATAAATGTCATTTTGAAAAATATCTTTCAAGGATATCATACATATCATTTCCATAAGAAGATTTTGAAACCTCATAGTACAAGGGCAAAATAACTTCAAACAATAACTTCGGTATTCATAGGCTTTGAAATTTAGAGTTCCTGAGCGCCCAAAATTCATTTATTTCAGAAAGTGTGAATCACGAATAAAAAAAATCATTTAAGAAAAAATCCCGGCTGGAAAAAGTAGTCATGTGGTACAGTTCTAACTAAGATTTTATAAATATTGAACAGAAAAAAATACGAATACCGCTTATTCTTATTTAGATCTAAATAATGAAAGCAGAAAGAGCTAGAACTAAATCAAAAAGTAAACAATTCTAAAACTAAATAGAGGAAGTGTACCGATAATACTTGTGAAATAAGTCTACATACTTATCTAGTTATTTTACATTGTGGTCCGAGTAATGCTCTGAGGATATCAATAATATAATTACCTCTACGCCAATCATTGTTAGTGTGCCGTGCATATCGTGCTGTTCCTGTTTCGTAGTGTTATACATGTAACAGTCATGTACGATTTTAATGCATAGAAGATGATTCTAAAAAAAATACATGTTTATCAAAATTTTATCCTGCGATGTGAGTTAATGTATGGTTTTATAAGAACGACACTATATCTTAGTAAGCGCGAAAAAGTAAAAAATATAAAAACAGAAAAATTGTAGGATTGAGCAATATTGGATACTCAGATAAGCCAGATTTCTAAGCTCTGGTTATCACTGCGTATCCAAGATATTACCTGCGCTTTTACATAATACCTGAAATTGCCAATTCTGAAACGAGAAGTCAAGAAATGCACCGAAATGTCTGGTATAATTTTGTTAAATATTACAAAGTTTTATAACAATTATATCGCAAAACTTATTTATGCGTGAATATGCTTTGCAAAAAGCATGATTGTATTGCTCAGAAAAGACTGTAATATGAATGACTCCATTTATTCATTTTGTAACTAAAATGATTTATGTTATGTAATAGGGCTTTATTGGAAAAAAACCGCGAACAGGTATTGGGAAAATTAAAATCTATCATCAACTGCAATAACGTAAACGGTATCAGCTTTAATGCACCAGAAGCGCATTTCTACATTTAATGTCTCTTCAGTGACGCTAGCGGCCAAAATACTTGAACATCCAAAAGCTACTACAAATGTTGAAAAAAGCGGATCAAACCAAAAAGGACCTGGAGTATAGCCGAATCCGGACATGAAATCAGAGCTTTGCATGAGGGAGATATATTTTTTAATTTCAAAAATTTATAAAAGCAAATTTTATCTAAAAATGTATTCGTAATTACATGCCAGTACCGCAAACATCGACACTCATGAAAGTAAAATGGCATGCATACCACCGTAATTCAATATCCAAGCAAGTGTTAATCAAACGACTGGGATTATGTGGGGAGGGTTCCTGCAAACAATCATAGTTTTGGCTTCCGTCTCTGTAGAATAGTAGTCACCAGAGGCATTCTTTTATTCAGATAGGTGAATTTGTCTCGAGAACTTATATTTCCTTTGAATGCAAAAAAAGCGGTTATATGTATGAAAACTTATGTAAACAAACAACACAGAAATAATAACTACAAAAACAGCCCCTTTAAACAAAGTTCACCCGAAAGGCTTACGTAGTATATTTTTGTTGCAAAACTTTGGGTCTTTTGCTTTCGGGGTTTAATTCAGAGTGTTCCGTAGTATTATCAACCTTAAATAGTGCTTCCAAAGCATTAAAATTAGATTAGTAATTTTTTAGCTTTAATTAGCACAGCATACAATAAAATCATATTAAAGTAAATGTAATAGTTATCCAACTTATTTTGTGACCAACAGCTCATCGCAGTCCTTTATAATATATAAATAGGTATACCTCTGCAAAATATCTAATACTCACCACATACGTAAGATATCTAAACGAAATACCGTCATTTATAGAATGTTGTCCGTTTACGTGGACCAACAACATAATACATATCTGCAATGTAAGACAATCTATCGTACTACAATGCCGAACTTAATCGTTTTTTTATTCATAAATTGAAATGGCAATTATGGTATAATTGTGATGTTGATTTTTGTAGTTTGTATTGGCAGCATCATGTATAACATTAACATTACCAATGTTTCTGCACCAGATGCACATTTCGAAAATAAATGTCTCTCTATAATACTAAAAGAAGGAATTCGCCAAACTTTCAGGAAAAACGTGTAGCTAAATCTGAAAGAGATTTAATTAAGTTGTTCTCGCATTAGCAGATATACTCCCACAATCACATAATATACTTGCGTTTATTAACAAATGCATATTCCATGCAATTTTGAAAATCACAAATTCGCCACACCCTTGAATTTTCAAGAGTCTTGACGTCACAAATATTCATACTAGGTACTTTAAGTTGTAAAGACGTAACCAGTTTTGTTTTACAGTTATTTAGTCTAAAAACTACACTTATCTGGATCCTTATGCATTCTCTGTAATCAAAAATCATGTCAATTAATTAAATTTGAATGTTTTCCGATAGCTTTAAGCAGAATATCTTTAAGCAGAATGTTATAAATGTTGAGTCCAGTTTGACTCCATGATATTTTTTTTCATAAACGCTCACTATGGTTCAGGAGAATATTTAATTAACTACTGAATTGATTTAAACTAAAATTAAGAAAAGAATTAAGAATTTGCAGAATACGTATTGTACTATTTGTTAATCTGTTCTTGTCCTGAATATACATAAAATAATTGCCACTGGATATTTAGCAAGCAACAATCAATTAGAGAACCGCATTGTGTCATCTCGATAAATTTCGTTTTCCCAACCATAATTATATTTTCTTGACTTCTGTTTTCATTTGGTTACAATATCGCTGTCTGTAGTGATGTATCCAGTAAGATATTATAACTGATATATACACAAATATTATAAAAATAGTGGTTAACGATAACAGCTCATGCATCCTAATTATATTTACTTAGTAAACTTTGCAAAGACATAATGTTGTCATACATGTTTATAAAAATTACCTACTACATATATTCGATTCTGATGATTACTATATACCACTAGTGATTAGTGGAAAGTATTCTATTCTAATAAGAATAGAGAGTGTTTTAAATACAAGTCCCTGCATGTGCTCGCTGCGATATTGCCCTTTGCGCAATCACATTTAATGGCAAAAACAGCAATTTTCTTATAAAGCATATACATGATACAAGTGAGATTGCTTTAGCATTAATTTTCTTAACTTTAATGAAAACAAACCTTAAAAAAGAGACAAAAATGTGTTACAAGTCCCATTCTGTTCTGTCAATTTGAGGAGTTTGCTTCTTATCAACAAACTTATACCAATTTCTCTCTTATCTTCATATTGGACAATGGGTTTACTGAAACGTCGTGTGTAAATATTATCAATACAATATTATAAAATTTGCTTCGCAACAGGTCATCTACGCTCCCATTAAATCGATTTTGGAATAGTTTTCAATATGCAGAGAGCGAGGCACTATCCATAAAAGGCATTGGATTTAGTGTCCTCATTTCAACAGGACGTCGTTCCGTATTGCACTGCTATAGCATGGGTTAACTACCGGATAGGAGAATACCAGATAATCATATTTAACCCATCAACCCATGGGCTTTCTGTAGAATGATATTAATTAATTTTGATTAGCTAAAAATATACCTCCTGTTTATTCCAACTTGGCATGCTTTTCCTGAACCCGATGTAAAAAGTGAATGTTGTCCTTAATATTAGTAATGATTCGTTTGCTCATTCTTGTAGAGTGCATTATTTAGTGGGATAGATCTGCGCGCATTTGCAGTTACGTTTATGATTTCGATGACGTAAAACATACACGACTTGCAGGAGAGGAAAGGAGCTTTTGTAAGAAGCTGTGCTCATGAATTGATGTATATTTGTACTAAAGTTTAACTTAAGTATTGAGATTCGCGTGCATATGGAGAGATATTTCCAAGTTGATACGATATTCCACAGTTAGCGTCTCCTATAATGATAACCTGTCTCCTGGTATTATCAGTTTCACAGATTTCCTCGGATATGTTCGAATTATTTATCGAAACCACAATCCTCTTCTCTTTTCCTCGATTGAGACACCATAGAATGAGACTTGTCATCGAATTTATTCTTAGCATAAGCAACACGACGGGTGCCACATGTGGAGCAGTGTCTGGTTACGCTTCCAGACTACTGAAATCGTTGTCGGTTTTTGGTGTGATTCGTGTTGCTCAGTCTTTAGTTTTCTATGTAGTGTTTGTAGACTGATGTTTGATCTTTCGTTGTTTTTCGTTTATTCTTGCATGAGTTTCACTGCGACGTTTTGAATGTCCCTTTAGTATTACCCACCTCTTTTTGTTGCGGAGATGTGTTCTGCTTGATTTGAATTGATAAAGGTTATTACTATACTATATTGTTGTCAAACGTGCGTATGATCATTTTTTTAAAGGCACCCGTCCTCTGATATGTTTAATCTTTCTTTTCATTTTTTTTTAAACATGAACTTGAAGCATTGTAAAAGATCTTGTCTGCATGTGCTTTTCATGGCGTTCTTGTATGAAATCCGCCAATGAAGCACAGCTGTCGATATTACAGTGTAAGACGTGGTGATTTTATGCAATCCGGTTGTGTTTTTTGTGCTTGTTTTTAGTTTCTGTGAATATATCTAATATGGTTTAGCTTTTGTGGTTATAGGTAACCTTTTTTTATTCTACTGACCGAGATTACAAGGCCAAGAAGATCTCAATTTCTTGTTTAACCTTGCCACATATTTATAAGCCTCTCAAATCAGAAACCTCCTCAGTGGTTGTCTTAAGTTATATAAAAATATAAACAATATTGTCCTATATAGCCGAACAACATCACTGTTAAAAACAAAAACAAAACAAAAATTTACAATATTATACAATTTCAGCTCATTAATCGGTGCTCCAGTACTGACATGATTTATAACCTTCTTTAATTAATTCATGCAACGTGTATACGTATTTAAACATCCCCGTATTTCAAATATTCAGCAAAAAACTCATCTAAGATACCAAGCGTATAGTTTTGTACGCCAGACGTGCGTTTCGTCAATATCAGACTCATTAGTGACGCACGAATAGTTTAAAGCCAAGTCAAATTAAAGTTAAAGTGTATAAAGAACCGAAAATTCCAAAAAGTTGTGTCAAATCCGGCTAAGGCAATCTATTGCAGGGGTTTTGAATATTCTAATGATATTTCATGTCAGCACAAAAGTCTTGACGTTCATCAGCAGTAACCTTGACCCAGTGGTTGTAAAAACTCGTCGAAGATATCAGGTTTATAATGTTGAACGCCTAGCGCGAGTCGTCATTATAACACTAATCAATGCGCCTTGAAACAAGTTAAGCGTTCCTGAAGAAGGTAAATTCATAAAAACGCGGTCAGATGAACGTCGATAAAATGTTATTTTCATTTATAAATTTATAAATAATTACGGTCCAAACTTCCTCAGACAAATGTGCCCTTAGATGTATTTGACTTTTTTTAAAGGTCCATTTCGGTCAGAAAGTCTTTAACGTATTCAAGCAGTTATACAATCTTAGCTTTCATGATCTGGGGTCTGAAATTGAATTTAGAAAAGCGTTTCGGACACATCTAATTTATTGAGTGCTATTTTCCTTTTTTAGACAACCATGGGCCACAGCAAGAAAAATTTTAGATCACTTTGCATAAAGGTGTAATACCACCAAATCATAGTACGTCACATCCGGTTGCATACGAAAAAGGGTCGGAAAAAAATATTCCCTTGAATTTGATAGTTGTAGGAAATTAATCCTACATTTCATTGCAGTAAAATATTTCTGAGTCATAAACATATACCCTGGGTGTTTCAAAGCACCATTCTTTTTTTGTTTGTAGTATCCTTTATCTCTAGTTCGATGGGATAGATTCGTTCAACATAGTCACCAAATTTTGTATTATTTAGTGAGAGAACATCATCTATATAGCGGAACGTAAAGTAAAGGATATTGCTAACTTCTTATCTTTCTTCCTAAGAAGTTCCTTTATGAAGTCAGTCTCATAATAATAAAGAAACAAGTCGGCAAGAAGAGGGCACAATTGGTTTCCATTGGAATTCCGACAGTCTGTTGAAAAACACGTACTCCAAACGTAACAAATATGTTGTCAATCCAGAAATCAAGCATCTTGATAATGTCAGTTTCAAAGAATTTTTTGTTTGAATCAGAGTGATTCTTTACAAAGTAGGATTTATCCTTCCCCAGGACAAGATATTTGTATCTAAGTTCGCCATTCTTTCTGAATAGATTTCTGGGGATATGATTGGTTAAAGGACTACACGTGGTGACTACATATATTTGATATAGGGTGTCCTAAAAAATATAGTGTTAGTTACCATGTGTAGTTAGTAAGGAGTTACTTCCCTTTCAAAACAAAACAAAAATCTGAAAGGTTTCAACAATTGAAATAAATGCATAAAAAAGATTCAAAGCTAACAAGTTGTTATTGTTGGCATTTGTTTTTTGTATAGACAAATGGAAGTAGGTTCTTAATACTAAGTATTTAAGACTTCGTCACTTTGATAGGCCGCTAGTCTAAATACCACATGTGAAGATAGTCGGTAAGATAAATTCGTTACACGGTGTGCTAGTGACCTAATACGATATATATGGGGTCACTAACACACCATGTAACTTATAATAATAATAATATATATATATATAGGACATTTCTTATCTCGCATATACCTTCGATTTACCAGGTATAGTCAACACATTCATTTAGTCTGATCACAAACAGTTGAACACGACAACAATTATATCTGTCATATAAGTACCACTTTGAGATCTGATATTCAAAATCTATCAAACATTTAATCGAGATAACAACTTAAATAGGGCAATTTGATTAAAATACAGATCCTGTGTCTAAGCTTTGCTTACAAGCATCTATAAACACTCCGTTTTACTTTCTGTTCTGATTATTATTACATTATTGCATCAGCTAATGAAATTTCTGCAAATTTTCGAAGGTGTTTATTAATCTGACAAAACTAGAGGATCTCGAAAGTGTAATACAGAAAATAAAACGGAAAGTTTTCAGATCATTGTAAGCAAATACGATCTTCTATGAAGAACTGAAGAACATCAATTAGTACTTTGAGCTCGATCTCAGTAACTGCAAGCATTCTTTAATCCAACATGATATATATTGTGTTTTATTTTCCATGCTTTAGACTGCAGATCGAATTAAAAGGGAGAGGGTTGAGATCTAAAATAAGTTGAACCCACCAGATAATCATGTGCCTGTCCTAAGTCATAAACCTCCAATGTAGTTGTCTTATTCCCTACATATTGATGTTTTTTTAGGAATTGTGTGTTGATAGCAGATTTTAAATTGTGTTAAATCTTATAACTCTTAATCTCAGGTCGATTATGAGCTTGAAATAATGTATCTATTGTCGCAGAAAAAAGTTTTGAACACATTGAAATCAATCAGGCCTGACAGTCGTTAGCATTTTGAGTACGATTATGGTGCTCAATTTAAAAATAAAGACAACAGTAGTATACCGCTGTTCGAAACTCATAAATCGATAGAGATAAAAACAAATCCGGGTTACAAACTAAAACTGAGGGAAACGCATGAAATATAAGAGGAGAACAACGACACAACAAAAACACAACATTAAAATGTAACACACACAGAAACGAACTATAATATAACAATGGCCATTTTCCTGACTTGGTACAGGACATTTTAAGAAAAAAATGGTGGGTTGAACCTGGTTTTGTGGCATGCCAAACCTCCCGCTTTTATGGCAACGCCAAACACAACACCAAAACGACAACATCACATGACAGGACCACAAAACAAATAAATGGGAGAACATATAGGACAAAAAAACACACGAATAATAGCTAACAAAAGGTACTAGGCTTAAAATTCAATACGCCAGACGTGCGTCTCGTCCACACAAGACCAACCAGTGACGCTCAGATGAAAAAAGTTTGAAAGCCAAAACAAGTACAAAGCTGAAGAGCACCTAGTACCAAAACTTCCAAACAGTTGCGCCTAACACGGCCAGGGTTTTCTGCCTGGGACAAGAACATCCTTATTATTTAGAATAATTTATAATTTTGCAAACAGTAAATTTTATAAAATGACTATATAATAGATATACATGATAAAACCGAAGTGGGGACTAACTACAGAATAAAAACGGATACATTACATAAAACAACTTAATCCAACACTTAAAAATACACAGCCGAGTTAGCCAAAGCCTCAACGCACAAAGTGACGTCACATTTGAAATTCTAAAAAAACACACAAAGTGACGTCACATTTGAATTTGTAAAAATATTTCCCAAAAATAAGATAGGATTAGGATTGATTCAAGACTAGATTTGTAATACTGACATTACATTTATTAATAACAATGAAAATTACAATACTTATTAATATCAAATTGTGGTAGTAATTAGATAATTAATTGTATTATATAGCTATGTCGGTATTTCTTCTGAATCAAACTGTAAACCAAATATATCGTATAAATTTCGTTGAACCAAACTAAAATCTAATAAATGAAGGGGGTGATTAAATATTTTTACCATAACACACGAATATAACAGAAAAGACTTAAGACATTTGATAAAATCCGACGAGAATAACAAATATAACATAAAAAATAATTACATGAATTTGGGATAGAAAAGTTCCGTGACACGTCTTATAGCAATGCGGTTTCACACTCAGCAAAACAGTCACAATCGGGAATAAGTCACGTTTGGTAATTAAAAGATCAGACGACGTAATGACAAACCACAATCTAACACGTGGTAAAAATGTCCTTAGTTAGTTTGGACAAAGACACCTCGTATGGATCAACCAATTCGTGATGGTGTCCGTAAAATTTACGGAGTGTCATTTTTAATCTGTCCTCCTCATAACTTTGTTGGAGCAGTTTCTGCGTAAGGTGCACACTCCTGTATATGAAGTCCGTATAGTGTGAACAAGCACGAGAATAACGTATCAATTGAGATATGTAAACACCATACGAAGGGGCAGAGGGTATGTTACTGCTGAGAAATGGGAAATTGATAATTGGGAAGTTGAAATCGTCCCGTTTATCATAGATTTTCGTGTGAAGTCGTCCATCTGTGTCAATATTGAGGAAAGGATCAAGGTATGAAGCAGTCCTTCTAGTATCAGTAGTATCCTTAATTTCAAGTTCATTGGGATATATGAGATGTAAGTATTGGCTGAAATATGGGTTATTCAATGATAGAACATCATCAATATATCGGAAAGTAAAATTAAAGAATTTCGCAAGGTGTCTTTTAGAAGGTTCTGAATGAATTCTGCTTCATACGAGTACAAAAACAAATCGGCCAGTAGGGGTGCACAATTAGTTCCCATTGGAATACCGACTGTCTGTTGAAAAAATTAAATCCTCACAACTCAACAAATATATTGACGATCAAAAAGTCCAGCATTTTGATAATATCATCTTCAGTATATTTTTTGGTAGATTCAGTTTGGTTTTTCACAAAATATGAATTATTGTAACCCAAAACAAGAAATGTGTATCTACGATTCCCATTTTTATAGAAAAAGCTCTGTTTAATGAGATGGTGAAGTCGATCTTTCAACTGAGCATGGGGAATAGTAGTGTAAAGCGTAGAAAAATCAAAAGTCTTTATGTTGCTGCAAAATTGCAAAGATTGTGATCGAAGATTAAGCAGTAGATCTTTCGAATTTTTGAGAAACCACATCTAGTTAACACCACTGGTAGAATATATATCATCACAATATTTTTGAAGCCCATCTTTAACTGTAGAAAGAATAGTAGTCAGTACTTTAGAAAGATGTTTAGTCGAACATTTTGATGACCCAGCTATGTATCGTTCTTTATATGGAGTTTTGTGTAGTTTTGGTATCCAGTTTAATGATGGTAAATTTTCTTCGTTTTCTTTGATGTTGATACCAAAAGAAAGAAGAACAGATTTGTGATTTTGTAAAATTTCGTCCTTGGTAAATGATGTTAAAGAATATGTAGGGTTACCAGTAGTTCTATTTATTCCAAGCTTTGTTGTGAGACATTGCAAATAATGGTTTTTACATATGAAGACAATATTATTGGAGGCTTTATCTGCTGGAACAACGACATATTTGTCATGCAAAGAGGATAAAGCATCAACAACATCCTGACGTTTTAAAGGGTTAGTAACTCTTGTGCTCATATTGCATCGTAGTTTTTAAAAAATCAACCAATGCAAAAAATTGATTTGGTGCTTACAGTGCAAATTTTGTTGTCCGAGTATACGTACTGAATACAGTTTAATGACCGGGATCCCAGAGCCCAGATTATACGCTTATATGATAAAAAACAATTTTTGACTTGATTTGGTCGGTTTCTGAATAGATGTATGATGAATGGATGAATTGATGACTGTTTAACGTTTAGTGGCAAACTAAATGCATATTCAGGACGAAAACATTTTAGTCCGATATGAATATGAACCCTACTAGTCCGACACGCTGAGTCAGATTTTTAACGGGCTAGTTCACAAGGTAACAGTCCGCAGGAAGACGTGTCACAATACTTGGACACAATATTCTTACTCCGAGTCAACTAGTAGTTGTTGTTACTCTTTAATGTCGCGTGCTAAGCGGAGAAGGAGCAAATACCAATTTAACAGATTTGGTTTGGCCCGGGCGCGGTTCGAACACACGACCTTGAGGTGCACACACTACCACGAGACCACAGAGGCGGTCTAAATGTATGAAGTTTTAACAATCGTTATTCATTCATGACATAAAAACAAATTCTTGAAAACATGATTAAAAAGTACTAAAATTATTTAGGCGTAAAATGACTTTAAAAATACGGACGCACACTTTTAATATTGACAAAAACAATGTTCATGTTTTATTTCAAAAATTAATGTTAACTATAATGAATTGATATCAAAGTTTATCGTTACTTACTTATCAGTCATGCAATTACAAAAAAGTTATATTTAACTGATCGTTGATGTAACGTGAAAATGGACGTGTATGTATTTACTTCCATCCTCACGCATAATGCATTACGTTATCTAATGTACCGGTAATTATGGATATTTTCTCAATAATCTATAATATGTAATTTAAACTCAATCAGATGTATCATCATTTGGGTAGTAATGGCATAGGTCATAAATAAACGAGACGATGCAACAGGGACAAATAAATAATAAATGGAAAAGAATAAAAGCAGACACTACATTGTACAAAGAAAAAACGAACAGACAAACACCAGCCCCTTATTCTCTATATCGATATTTTTCATATTCCCGCAAGAATTCTCAATACAAGTCTCTTTGTTACAGTCAGCAAATTATACTTTTATTCCAATAATGTATCATTATAAGGTTTTACATTAAACTCTCCCTAAAAAAAACAAAAACTTACAAAACAAAAACAATCAAACAAAATCAAAAATCAAAACCAAATAAACAATTAATGCATATATTTTTCTTGAGTTTTTTTAAAACCAGATATCAAAACGTATGACCTTTATAGACCCAAAGAGTAGCATTTCCTAGGTCACAGAAATGACTGAACCGCCTAAGATCATGTTTATAGTGATCCTTAGATGCTGTCTTGAAGTAAGTCGCACGAGCCTCAATGATCATCTTCAAAACTTTTGCCTGTAAATAAAATAAAATTACAAAGACATGCAAAGAGGTAGGACCGGGCTAAAAATCATAAAATTTATAGATTGTGGGGAATGTAAGATATAACATATTTCCCGTTTTAATATAGCTAACGTAACTTTTGTACATGTACTTGTTCAGGTATTTCAATCTTTAATTTAGTTAACATAAATCAACTACTGGGGAAGCTGAGCTTTTTAAAATCTGGTTTCAGTTCACCACAGGAAATCGCAATAATTATGATGATGACAATAATATTTTTTTGCGAACATTTTGACCTAATATTGCTTCTTACTGGTAAAATTTATCGATTACCAGAAACACCGATCACATGGTAAATATTTCAATAGATATAAAAAAAATATGGTATGAGTGCCAATGAGACAACTCTCAATCCAAGTCAAAATTTATAAAAGTAAACCATTGTAGGTCAAAGTACGGTCTTAAACACGGAGCCTTGGCTCACATCGAACAGCAAGCTATAAAGGGCCCCAAAAATTACTAGTGTAAAACCATTCAAACGGGAAAACCAACGGTCAAATCTATATAAAAAACGAGAAACGAGAAACACTTATGAACCTCATCAACAAACGACAACTACTGAACATCAGATTCCTGACTTAGGACAGGTGCAAACAAGTGCAGCGGGTTTAAACGTTTTAATAGTACCAAACATTCACCCTTATCTGAAACGATAGTGTAAAATCACAACATAGAAAGACACACTATAAAATATCAATTGAAATGGCTTAACTCAACCAAAAGACATATTAACACCATTGAACATACACTGAACAAATAAATTTGATCTATGATATACAATGTAAATACAAAATAAATAAACTAAGGGAAGAATAATTAAAGTAACATGTTATACCGCTGTGAAATATTAAACAATTTAAGAAAAACATTGTGCTTGAACAAAAATATCAACCATTTGCAATTACTTTAAACACAGGTAAATGAAAATAATTTTGTAGTTAGGTATACGTGTACAGTTCAAATGGAGAAAGGAAATATTTTTACAAAATAAATAATTTCGATGTTCATAGTACAAAGAAGTGAAAATTTATAGTAATACCAAACACTTATTAAAGCTGGTATATAGACCCGATATAACCATGAAAAAGTAAACATTAAATAACAAAAAGCATTACAATTAGTATCAACAGGTCAATAAACAAGAAAGTACGATTTGAGAGTACTCGCAGTTACTGACAGCAAGTTAAAAGCCAAAAACAATTAATAATAAAAAATCATGCATCAGAGACTAAAATCAACTAAAACACATCCCAGGGATTTAGTATTTTAACGTCATGGACAGTCAAAGAAGACATGACTTGTGCAATGCCAAAAATAAATGTATCGACTGGCAGTAGGATAGTTAGGAGTTAACCTCTTTATAGATCAAAATGAACGTTGGTGTGTCTTTATACAATCACGCATATTTTGGCAGTTCAATGAGCATTTATTACGGTCAGCATGGTATTGGATTAAGTGTATTGTGCATAATAAAATCCTAAATGCCTAATTTCTAAATTGCATGAGTTATATCCTAAACTTTATATAGAAATTTCGTGAGACTTGCTACAAATTATACATTTTAAAAGGTTATAATCGGCAATCCGCTGACTAGAATGACAAATTCTTAAAATGCCTCCTTGAACAAAATATTGTATGCAAGTTAGGTATGGGTCTGTTAAGGCAAAATTTTAGTAAAGTATACCGAAGTTTATTTGTAGGGTAGATGGTATACCTTAGCATTGTCCGTAGTGGACAGGTTTTAGTTACGGGATGAATTCAGTGCTTTTGGTGTACTACAGTAGACTTCCGCCAATTTGTAGCTGACATGAATAATAGCGTCTAGATGTCTTTTTTCACCTTGTGATTTTTGTTGTTGCTGTTTTATTAACGTTTGCCCTCGGTTCCTTTATACTTACATTTGTTGCGAAGGTATTAGAACAAAGCCAGCAGCAAAAGTAGTAACGCTGGTTTCTCACGGTTGTTTAACATCCGAAGCAAATCTTCTGTCATTACTAAGGTACTTGAATTCTTTTAAACCCATGGATTATATTTTTTCTTTATTTTTTCCCTTCAATTTCCTAGATTTATGTACCAGCTTTGTAATCTTAACGTACCATTTCACTTCATTTAACAAATGAATGCTTCTTTTTGTATTTTTATCAATGTGCAAAAGTTTTGACCGAAGCATATTTTGTATGAAGCGCAGAAGCGCTTCATTCTAAAAATGGGTGCACGATCAACAGTTTTACAACCCTATCAAATTACTAAAAGAAGCATTCATTTCTGATAATTACATTTTTATGCTATGACCATGAAAAAAAGTTTTATCAAGTTTTTGTATTATTTACCTGTGCTTTGTTTTGGGGAAGCACGTATCATCACGAATGTAACATTTCATTTTGATATGAAGGTTAATTTTTGAATGACGCGCGTTTGTTGTTAGCCAATCAAACTAACGGATTCTAGTGAAACATACATGTAATGTAATTATTTTACATAATTGACTCTCACATGTTCAGTCAGCTGTCTTTAATTTATATTTTAAAATTATCAAACGATAGAAGGGGCGAAATACTTTTAATGAAAAATTAATGAAAAGTCTTAAAATACAACACAATTACAGGAATTGCTAATCGGAGAATTTTCGACAGTCGTTGTTAGGGCTCTGATAGCTTCACGGTTGGTTAGACAGATATACTGTGCACAAGAGAATTTATTCTGGAATAATCTTTATCATATTAATATATATTTTTGGATAAAAGGTGTTGGATGCCGGTTTCGAATTAAAAAATGATTAACATACAGTTATAAGTAATACATATTGTATCAATTGAATATATAAATTTTAAAAAAGTAACAGGACTGTGAGGCTCTTATTGAACTAAAGTGAGTCGAAAGAAAAAGGCGATAAAATTTCTCCGTGTGGTTATGTGGACGAATTGAAAACACATTACCATCTTGATTTTGAAATTTGTGTCATTAATCATTAATTATAAATTTAGTTTGTATGTGATTAATAGTATTCTAAAGCACCACGAAGGGTCATAGTATGAAATCGGAGGGAAATGTGTCTTAATTATTTCGTACATCTGTTTTTGTTTTTGTTTTGTTTTTATATAAGGCAATTTAATTTCTGCAATAACGTTTCGCAGAACTATAAATATAACCCAAATGTTGTGATAGAAAGAAAAGTATGCACATCTAATTAAAAAATAAGTGGGCGTCAGCCTTAGTTAAAAAAGAATAATAAAACACTAGAAAATTACCGAAACGACTGAAGATTTATATGTCAGAATTTGAAAATCCAAAGCATTTGTATCGTGTCGTCAGCTGCTTGAACTCAATAAACAAAAGGATATATTTCTTTAGGCAAACTTTTGTAAAAGCTCATGTGATCAATTTTTCTAAGTTTAAAAGTAGCATTTCAAAATAAAACGTTAAATGTTAAATGATATCTTGGAATGAAACTCTCAAAGTCCCTAGGAGAATGCTGTAACATTCCATCATAAAATATGTGGTATAATGGCTGACAAAAATTATATGCATATCATTCTATAAGAAAATTTTGATACTTCAAAATAAAACAACAAAATAATATCAAATATCAAACAATAAATTCATATCCGTAGCCTTTGAATTTCGGAGTTCCTGTACGCCCAAAAGTACATTGATTTTCAGAATCCGTAAAACCGCTTTAACATAAAAAAAAATCCTGTTTAAATGAAAATCAACGACGGGGAATTTCAAAATTTCCGTTTTAAATTACAGAACAACATTGACGTCCTGACTGAAATTATAGTAGTCACGTGGTACAGATCCAACTTGATATTATAAATATTGATCAGAAAAGCATACGCTAATCGCTTATTCTGAATAAGGACAGAAGAGTGAAAGCAGAAAGAGAACAAAAACAAAAAAAAAGAGACGATTCTCAAACAATAATATAAAGGAAGTGTACTGAAAATACTTATAATATAAGGCAACTCACTAATCTAACTCTACATTTTTGTCCGAATAGCAATAATACATTACCTCTAAGCTGATCATTGTTAGTGTGTCGTGCATGTCGTGTTGTTCCTGTTTCGTAGTGTTATACATGTAACAGTCATGTTTGACTCTAACGCCTAGAAGGTGATTCTGAAAAATTAACATACTTTTTCAAAAAGTTGATGAGAGTTACTGCGTTGTTGCCTATAAAAGAGATTGATAGATATACAACTACAGAAATGGATATCTCTGCAAGAAGTGGCAATAGAAAATTAAGATTTAAAAAAACAGAGAGAGTGCAAGACTGGGAAATCTTGGATACCTGAGGGTAAGATTTCTAGACTCTGACGATCACTGTGAATTCTGTTACAACGCCGGATACTGCCGGGGCTTTAATGAAATACAGTTAACTCTCGTTGTCTCGAACTCGGTTGACTTGAAATTTCGGATGAGTCGAAGTATTCACGTGGTCCCAAACTTTGTTCCATATAAATGTATGTATTTCGACTCCTGATGAGTCGAAATTGGATGAGTCGAAATATCGGTTGATTACACTGATGCGCTTGGATTACCGACCGTGCAAGGGCTGTATAGCCAGTCAAGGTCGTTAAAAACTTCCATTTGTTGCGCTTGGATGTGTATAAAGTGGGGATTAAGACTTCCGTTGGTGATCACCTAAAAACTACTCAATCGGCGTCTTTAATCTTGTATTTTCTTTTGAAAAGAAAGAGTGAGATGAAAGAAAATGAAGAGAAATCTAAATTTTCTAACATCTCTTGTATCCGAGAATAAACAATTTTGTCAACTTTAAATGACCAAAATAACGCTAAGATCGATAGGAAAATTACTCTCTCGGATAAAAGCCATAGGAAAAAATTGTCACTGAAACAATTGAATAAGTAAAAATAATGTTATTATAATAATAATAATGAAAGACCATGACATACAAATACATCGATCTGATACCAGAATATCGATCCCCTTTCCATATTCATCCGGATTTATTCTAGCCTTACCAAGCTAAGCAAGAGTTGTGTCCCTTGGTCTGTCAAACTTCCGGTTTTCGTTTGAGTCGAGCTACGTGTATCTCGAAATATTTCTCTGGTCCGGCTGACTTCGAGATAACGAGAGTCGACTGTACCTTAAATTCCAATTTCTGAAACGTATACACAAGAAATGCACCAGAATGTCTGGTAGACTTTTGTCTTTATATGTTGTTAATTTTTACAAACTGTAATAACAGTTATATCTTATAATTGATATTTCCATGCTGATGCTTTTCAAAAAAGCAATAATATATATATTGCTCTAAATTACCCGAAAAATACTATTCTTTCTTGGATTCAGAAATAACGCTATGATATAAGTCTCTGTGTTTAATTATTTTTTTAATATAAAACCTTTATTTCGATCATGTAAAAGTACTTTCTTTAAAAAGAAAAACATGGTGCACTGTAAATGTGTGTGAAGTGTACCGGGTATTGAGTCAATTAAAATCTTTTACGAACTGCTAATTGCAAGCATTGACAATCGTAAAATGTTAAATGGCGTTTATACATTTGTACAACCATAACTAAATTACAAAGCAAGTATTCAATTAAACGACTTGAATTGTATGGGAGGTTTAGCTAGCTAAGAAAGCACTTGTTGAAAAAAGGTGGCAAATTTCAGTGTGTTTTTATTTTTCTCTTTTTAATAGAGGTGAGGGTTATAAAAATATATATTTGGAGTTCAGAATGCATCAACATTTACAAATAGAAATACATGTCGTTAAATGTAGAAAGTTCATACAAGTGGGAGGTTTAGCTAGCATTTAAACCAGGTTTAAACTTCAATTTTCTTCCGAAAATGCCTGTACCAAGTCAGGAATATGACTGTTCCGTTGGTTGATAACTTTTGATTTTGTCAATTTCTATGGACTTCCCTTTCTGAATCTATCTTGGAGTAGGGTAAATTTTATTTTATATACTTTTTACCTGCAAACAATAATGATTTTGGCTCCGGCTTTGGGGAAATGTGCTCAACAGATGCATTCTTTCATTAAGATCGAGGAGTTTAGGAAATTTCCTCTGATATCATATTTAACCTGGCTGAATGGTGTGTTATCTCACATAAATTATTACTTATGTCTTTTCGGTAGCAATAATTGCGGCTATATGTGAGATCTTATGTTAAAAAAAATGTGCTCATCTTTTTTTTCATTTTCTGAAATATTTGGGTACTAAATCATACTGGACTCAAATTAAAGATTAAGGGTACTATTTTAAAAGAACATCGGAAAATGTTGTCTGTGATCCTATAAAAAGAAACGGCGGCTGTCGTATATTGAAAGAGAACATAATTAAAAACGTCAGACCACAAAACGGACTAAATCAGATGTTTTTAAAATTTTGAAATTCCTTCTTTGTATTGTACGTGTGTATTCCACATTGTTTATGTTAAGGATAACTATATATGTACCGGATGGTTACTAAAAAAATGACATCATAACGAATATGTGATTAAGGAGGAATCTTAAAAATGTCTCCATGGAATGGTATAATGCAACAACTGTCCCCAAAATAAAGGATATGTCACTCTTTCCATCAAGGAAAAAAATGAAGTTTAACCCACCATTTCCTTTGGAAAATGCCTGTATAGGTATTCTATCTAGTCCTTCCTGTAGCTCGGTGAATGTGATAAACATTTTCAACTCTACTCCTCGGCGTAGACGCAGTCATGGTCATCGTCATTATACATCACCAACACTCCATGATGTCTCTATCAATGACCTGCTGCCATTTATTCAAAAGCCGTTAATTATTCATCACATTCGCACGAAGCTTTATTCATTACCCCTTTCAAAACTTCATACTCTGTACAACTTATGTTTGGAAACCATTGTTACAAACCCCCATTCAAACCAATACAAACTTACAGCTATCATCTAGGATATTGCAAGTCACAGACTTTTCAAACCAGTTCGCATTGAAAAAGATGAAAAGGAGAAAAGATACTTTCTAAAACTTTCCTTTGCCAATAAAGGTCTCGATGCTATCAATTTGGGCAATATCCTTCATCATAAATTAGTTCACTCGAAAATATCTCCCTATTTTAAAGACCAGTATGTACCTATCATTTCTTATACCTATACCAAACCAATTGCAACTAAAATTTTCAATTACAAACACGTGTTGCAGGATCTCAATATTGACGACTTCAAGTCTAAACCACCTGGTTGCACCTGTGTTAGTTCCCCATTCATATATAATCCGGCTGACCACGTTATTACTGGTGACCTAAACATTGTCAATAACACTTCTCTGCGAAATGTGTTATCCAAAGGCTCGAAAAATTATCGTGACCCTAAATCCATCAATTGAAAACACAAATTTGAAATACTGATGGATTCAGTCGAGGATTATACCAGGCAACGGATTAAACGCGAGAAAGAAGACGTAGATACTCTTTCCGAATGGATTAAGGCTGTGAGGTCGTTGATACAATTAAAAATTAAAAACTGAATGGGTCTACGAATACTTATGCTACATCAATTTTTAAAGACCCAAATGTTGCAAAACATCTGTCCTGCCTCCTTAACAAATATGTCGTTGTCCCCGCAGATAAAGCCCAAAACAACATCGTTTTTATGTGTAAATCACATTACATAAACTGCTTGATAAATGAATTAGGTATTGACAATTCACTTGGAAACTCAACATATATCCCCACGACACTTACCAAGGAGGAAATCCTAGGTCTGTTCCATGTTCCATTGGAATTTCAACCACAGATTTAAAAGACTGGATCTTTCTTCATTGTATTGGATACCTAAACTACATAAGTGGCCTAACAAACAACGTTATATTGCTGTGTCTTCCAAGTGCTCCACGAAAACTTTTTCTAAATTATAAACACCAATTTTATCAGCAATCGAAGCCGGGCTATAAAGTTATTGCGAAACTACATATTCTAGAGGTGGCGTTAATCAGATGTAGATACTAAAAAATTCCAAAGATCTTTTAGAGTACATACAATCTAAGGCTGTTTCATACTGCAATAATATTAAAACATTTGAACTTTCTACACTACACAAGTATCCCCATTCCAAACTGAAAGACAAATTGAAAGAGTTGGTCCTGCTTTGTTTCATAAAAAAGAATGGCCAACGTAGATACAAGTATCTTGTCTTAGGGAGGGATAAATCGTACTTTGTAAAAAAATCTATAAATAGCCGTGTCCATGACCAATCCCAGCAAAACATACTAACACCTTTGTCAATAGGTGAATTATATATCGTGTTAGTATGAATAATTTCTGTACAGACTTTTCTAAAGTTATGCTGCGTATACTATACATTTATTTTGTGGTTATTTCTATCGTAACCTGATTTGACCTGTCTGTGTGTGTTACATTTTAACGTTGTGTTTTTGTTGTGTCGTTGTTCTCCTCTTATATTTAATGCGTTTCCCTCAGTTTTAGTTTGTAACCCGGATTTGTTTTTATCTCTATCGATTTATGAGTTTCGAACAGCGGTATATACTACTGTTGCCTTTATTTAATATGTAAAATAATTACTGTTAAAAAGGTGTGTGTGTGTGAGAAGATTATCTGGTTTTACTCATTTGTTTATAGGCAATGATTTTTCATCTGTAATGATGTGTGGTAATCAAGTAGAAGTCTTCGATTTTCAGTGATTTTATAAATAGCCGTGTCCATTACCAATCCCAGCAAAACATACTAACACCTTTGTCAATAGGTGAATTATATATCGTGTTCGTATATATAATTTCTGTACAGACTTTTCTAAAGTTTCTAAAGTTATGCTGCGTATATTATACATTTATTTTGTGGTTATTTCTATCGTAACCTGATTTGACCTGTCTTATGTAAATTAATTACTGTTAGAAAGGTGTGTGTGTGTGAGTAGATAATTTGATTTTACTCATTTGCATATAGGCAATGATTTTTCATCTGTAACATGTGTAATGATGTGTGGTAATCAAGTAGAAGTCTTCGATTTTTAATGATTTAAAAATTATTAAGCTGCACCTGGTGTTTCGGATATCATTTAGGTCATTTTTTTTTACCAAGGCCGTAAATCCTCATCAGGTACCCTAGCCTTGTATAATTATAATTACTATGTAATTACAATTCGATTAGTTCTTGCT